GCAGCACTAACTAGGAAATTTGAACATACAAAGTTGGGGCCTTTTAAAGTTGCACCCCAACTCCTTTGTTTGATTGATTGATTGATTGATTGCTCATATTTGCATAGCCACCCACGGCACAGAGACCTGCTTTTGCAATCAGACAACTGGCTTGTCAAGGCAGAGTGGAAGTTAGAAAATGATTCCAACTTCCAAGTTTAAACCATGAAATTTAGGATGAACACAAAGCTAGGATCCTGGCATAACTTGTTATGAGCTTTTATTTGGATAAGTTTGCTGTTGACTTGCTCCAGGTAAGAAATTCTGGTCTACATTCTACTTTGCAGATGCAACCTATCTCCAGATTGTACCCACCTCCCTCCCCCCTTAAACCTGCTCATCTTTCCCAGTACATCATGATCCACAGTTTAAGAACTTCTGGCTTTTAATATTTTTAGATTGCTTTATAGCTATCAGATTGTAAGGTACCGTAATTATACAAGACAATGAAAAGGTCTTTGGACTTGGTTTTGAAGATGGTATTCACCCATACCTTTTATAGAATTGATGTGGTTATAGATCTTTCATGACAGTGTAAGTTGGCTTCCTATAATATGTATGATATTTCACTGCTGTGCTTTGCTCTTGAAATCTTTAGAAAAGAATTTAGTTTACACACAGTTTGTGGCCTCCTGCTTAGATTAGCTTGTCAGAAATTAGACAGGACAAAACTACACCTTGGACAAGATAGGAGTATTTTGATTTGGCACAAATGCAGATAGCGATTTTGAAAAAGTGACCTGAAATAGTTGCAGTGTTGGAGTTGCTAACTAAAATAATCTAATGATAGTATGCCTACAGAGGAAACATTTATTTAATACCTAGAATTAGTCAATTTCCTCAGTAATATTTATGCTACAATCTGAAACTATTAATCAGGTGCCTTTAATCCAACTGTTTCTAAATTATACTGAACTACAGTATATTGTATAAATGTTTGTTTGTACAATGGACATTTGGGAAGGCAACATTTTGATCATTAGAGACTATACTTTTAAAGTAGCTCCAAACCCAGTGATGTCATGGATGAGGAAAGTGATGGAATTTCAATAGGCATGTAGTTGTGATGGTAGTATATTCTAATTCTCATGTGCTTACTGTGTGAACCCAAGACTAAGGTTACAGTTTTTAAAATTAAGTTGTGGTTGCATGATAGAGCTCAGTATCTTAAAGCACAAAAGGCAGTATATGAAGAGATACGATTAAAGTAAAGACAGCTTGCAAAGATAAAAAGATATGAAAACATATAATGAATGATGCTGCATTAAACTGACAATATTTCCTAGGTATATTTCCTTTTTTTAATTACCCCAAATCATAATTTGGGAAGGGGTGTTACTGAGCTTTGAGTAGTATTGCTTTCTCCTATCCTGATTGATAAGTATACATGCAGGCATTTTCTGTGAAAAGGGAAATTACAAGTCTGAGAAATATATTGATGAGGAAGAGGAGAGAAACTGAAAGAAAAAAAGGATTTAAGAAAATAAGAGTTGGAAGAGACCTTGGAGGTCTTCTAATCAGATCTCCTGTTCAAGCAGGACACCCTATACTTGGGATGGCGAACCTATGGCACACATGTCGGAGGTGGCCCGCAGAGCCCTCTCTGTGGGCACACATGCTGTTGCCAGCTGCTCCAGGTTGTCTTCGCAAGTGCAGGAGCGCCGGAAACCCAAAGACCAGCTGGCCGGTGTGCATGGTCACCAGCCAGCTGGTCTTCAGGTTTCCGGCGTTCCAGTGTGCGCGTGTTACGGTTTGGGCACTCGGTGCCAAAAGGGTTCGCCATCACTGCCCTATACCATTTCAAATGGTTGTCCAATCTCTTTTTAAAATAGCAATAGCACAGACCGCTTCATGGTGCTTTTACAGTCCTCTCTAAGCGGTTTACAGAGTCCGCATATTGCCCCCAACAATCTGGGCCCTCATTTTACCCACCTCGGAAAGATGGAAGGCCGAGTCAACTTTGAGCCTGGTGAGATTTGAACTGCCGAACTGCAGCTAGCAGTCAGCTGAAGTAGCCTACAGTACTGCACCCACAACTTCTGGAGGCAAATCATTCCACTGATTAATTGTTCTAACTGTCAGGAAATTTTCCCTTACTTCTAGGTTGGTTTTCTCTTTGATTAGTTTCCATTCATTGCTTCTTGTCTTGCCTTCAGGTGCTTTGAAGAATAGGTTGACCCCCTCTTCTTTGTGGCAGCCCCTGAGATATTGGAACACAATTTAAGGGAGTGCCATCCTGATTTAAAACCCAAACCATACAGAATCAGGCTACATAAAAAATCACTTTTCTCCAGAAATGTTCATAAGATCTTTTACATATGTTGTTTCAGGCCTAAGATGAAGTGAAGTGATTAAGTAGTTTGAGGAATGCCTTTTTAGAAATGACATCTTGCTTACAGTTGGGCTGGTGATTCTTTTCTTCACTATTTATGCTTTTTTAAATCTGAGTCCTTACTTTGAAAATGGCATATTAATTCTCAGATTGCTATAAGTAAACTTTCTTTTCTTTTATTTGGATTCATAAAGAAAGTTTATGGATGACAAGCACGTCTCATTTGTGATTGTTGCAAGCAGTCTTGAGGGACCTTTGGCCAGTGCACTAAATATGGCCTGTGCAAATTCCCCATCCAATGTTCCAGTTACTTCTTTCATTTTCCAGATCACTCTCTGTTTGCATTAAAGAAAATGTACCTCTAATGTTTAGAAACGTTATGAGCATCCAGTTGTAGATTTTCCTCTTCTATCTGGAGAAAGGTGTCCTGTCTGAATTCTGCACCCAAGAATTCCTGAGAGCTAAGCTGCTGATTGACTCAGCACTTTAAAAAATTCTTCTTAGACATACACAGATCTATTTCCTTTCTGTAGTGAAAGAAAACACTGATGGCATAGAGAAAGACCACCTAAGAATCAGAGAGTGGCTCAAAATCATAGAGCTTTGGAAAGAAGAACAGTACACTCTCATTGTACCAGTTGCCTGTTGTGGATGTGGAAGAGCAGGAGAGCTATCCAGTTTTAACCCAGATTTGATGTCCCATTTTCATTCTGTCACATCTTTCTGAACTGATAATGCTGATAAGCATCATTGTTAAATAAAGGTCCTCAACTTACAACAGTTCAAATCCTCAATTTACAACAGTTCACTTAGTGACTGTTCAAAGTTACAACGGTACTGAAAAAAGTGACTTTGGACCATTTTTCACGGTTGCAACATCCCCATGATCACATGATTTACATTCAAATGCTTGACAGCTGACTCACATTTAGGATGGTTGCAATGTCCTGGGGTCATACGATCACCTTTGGCAACCTTCTGGCAAGCAAAGTCAATGGGAGAATCAGATTCACTTAACAACCATGTTATTAATTTAACAACTGTAAGTGATTCACTTAACAAATGTAGCAAGAAAAGTCGTAAAATGGGGCAAAACTCACAACAAATTTCTCACTTAGCGATATAACTTTGGGGCTCAATTGCCATAGGTTGAAGATTACCTGTATGCTTCCACATTGATATACTACATTGGCATATTTGTTGGAAACAAAGTCATAAAAAGCAAACCGTACTGATTAAAACAGCACAAAATAGAATCAACACAATAAAACTAAGACAAATTTTAAAGAAAGGGTTTAACGGAGCAAAAATCAGAAAATTCTCAATTGTGAAGAAAAATACATGTTCTTCTGTGTCTGAAACAAGCATGATATTTCCAAGTTATCCTTTTACTCCTCAAATGAAGTTTGGTTTAATCTGTTATGAACAGGGTGGATTTGATTTAAATCGAGTTGATTTAAATCACAATTTAAATCATGATTTAAATCACTAGTAAAAAGGCTTGATTTAAATCAACTCGATTTAAATCATAATTTTTAAAGAGCAACTGTCATCTCTGCTACTCCTTTGACCTACTGTTGACTCACCGATAGTCCCAGTGTTGCAGAATATACAGCCTCATGCTACATAACTAAGCTCCATTTCATGCTGAATAAACTAAATTATTTATGTATCTTAAATAGAAAACTATCTTACGATAGATTTTTACCCCAAAAGTTTTTTATTAAAATAAATTCAATAAAAATAAAAAAAATCCGATTTAAATAAAAAAAATCCGATTTAAATAAAAAAAATCTGATTTTTTTGATTTTTTTAAAAAAATCATTGATTTTTATCCACCCTGGTTATGAACTTACTGGAATAAATGTTATTACCCAACATAATGTAATGATAGCAACTTTAAGCTTAATAAGTTTCCATGGGAGGCTATAGAGGGTTTATGATAAGGATCATAAGTTATGCTTTCTTGGAGTTCTGCCTAAAGTGAACAGTTCTATGAGACAAACACTTGGAAGTATGAGGTATGTGAAATACTTCTTTATGGAACAATAATATACAATAAAGTGCTTGGCATGTGTAGATTGTTTTAAGATTTAACCCTCTAAAATAGATTAAGTCTATAAGGTAAAAATACACTTTTAACAGTATTAAAAATTAGATATCTGTTTCAAACTGATGCTGCAGCTACTGAATAGATTACAGTAGTTTAATTTAGACAATATACTTGTGCAAATATGGAGAAGTTCAAAAACTGGGCTCAATTTTTATGTGGTACTAAGTACCGCATGAGGTAATTTAAAATGGGCTGTTGGGTAACAGACTTTAGCTATAGATGATAAAGGAATTTATAAAAACAAATCTCTAAAAAAGAGAAAAACCTCTCAACATATTTGATAATTAAGAGAGATGACTGGTAGTTGTTTACTTAGAAGAAGATAATTACTTATTAGACTGGTATTATAAACTTTCTTACAGTGTCAAGGATACCGATGATAACTGGGAAATAGAGTTATTGAAATCTTAACACAAACTAAAATATTGGGCATAGTTTAAAAACAGCTGATGCTTAGGTTTAATTGACTAATTTAGAGGATGGGCTCTAAAGAAAGCATTTTACTGACAACAAAAGTAGTTGAGTTGAAATATTTTATTTCAGGCTTCTCTCTTACCCTTAATGTATTTCTTTATTTGAAAGGAGCTGGTTATTAATCAGATGCAGGATTTCCAGAAAGCTCTTTAAATTTTCCTGTTGTTCCATCTAAAAGTGACACCCCCCCCCAAAAAAAAAGTACCAGGAAGTACTTTTAAATGTGGTTGAGGGCTAACTGATGGAGAAAATAGTTCCACCATTTGGCTTTAGTGCTTTCAGTTTTTTTTAAAAAAATCTCGAAAATATTCTAACCAAACTTGCTTAAATGTTGTATTTCATTTTGCTGTCATCAGTGGTTTCTCAATGGATTTGTTCATTAATTAATTGTAAATAATTCACAGCCTCTAACTTTGTTGTAAATTAATCATGCGTAGTAACCAACAACAGCTAAGAAAATCTTCTGAAAGATTTGATCCAGGATGAAAATATGAGCAAGCTGAGCTATGGAAGTCTTGTTCTGGTGTCTGGAAGCGATAGCAAGAGGACTGAATTTGCCTAAACAAGAAAGAGTTAATTGTTAACGCCGTGGGAATCAAGATTGTTTCTCAATGGGGTGCCACTGCCCCTGAGAGAGCAGCGACTAGGGCTGATTAGGCAGGTGGAGGCAGTGGCCAAGCAGGCTTTTGTCCAGCTTTAATTGGTGTGCCAGTTGCATTCCTACCTGGAAGACAAAGTTCACACAACAGTGGCTCATGCCCTCATCTCAGCTGGAATACTGCAACACATTCTACATTCTGTCTTTGAAGACCCACCTGAGTAAGTGTAAAAATGCAGCAGACCAGTTACTGGCTGGTGTTAACCTGCTAAGATCACATTACACCTTGTTTTTTTAGGCCCTTATTATCAGTGGGTTTCTGGATGCAATTCAAAGCGCTGAAAAAAGACTGCCTTAATTCATTTTGTGAAGAGAAACGGTAGCTAGGAAGTACCTTTTCTTGCTGCTGCTCTGACATTGTGGAATTCTCTCTCCTATTAGGGCTTGTTCCATCACTGCTAAAGTTCCATATGAAAGCCAAAGAAAGACCGTTCCCAAAAAGTTTAGAATTGAACATTTCCAACCATCATTAATTGATTTTACTTTGAATTCTTAATATTGATTTATTTGTTGATAATGATTTTTGTTATGTTCTTTGCTTTATTTCTCATCATCACTACTATTATAATTTATCTTTGTTGTTGCTTGGATTAATTATTGATTGCCTTTATGCTGCATTAAGTACCACAAATGGTTTTTTTTCCAATTGTTGAATAAACCATTGTGAATTGGTATAGAGCTAGAATAAATAAATACGGAGCAATAGCTTTCTCCATGAGATGGAAAGTAAATATCCATTTCAACTCATTTTTATAATCAAATAAACATAATTTAATTGATTTCTCTGTTTTTTTACCATTGTACTTCTGTCTGACTTCTCACTTAAGAGTTCATCCTGTCCCTCCTGAATGATAACATGGACTCTAGTCCATGAAAGCTTATGTCATAAGGATTTTTTATTGTTTTAAATCAGAATACTCTTAACAGACATTTAACTGTAGCTGAAATTTAATTAAAAATATTCTTAATTCACCTTCTTCTTCTTCTCTCTCTTTCTCTCTCTCTCCCTCTCTCCTTCCATCTCTCTTTTTCTCACTCTCTCCCTCCCTCCCACCCTTTCTCTCTCTCTCTCCTTCCTCCATCACCAAAAAAAAAAAAAAAAAAAAGGAATTCAGTATACATGCCAGAGGAGTCAGGGTGAGCATCTTTCAACTGAATCCATAAAATATACATTCGTAAGCAATTATATAATTGTCATAATTATACTTGGAACAGTAAGGAAGAATGTTCTTATAAAAATCCCTTGCTGCAGCTTTTTAAAAATGTTCATTGTCTCCTTTCCTATTATTATATTACTACTGCTGTTCTTTCTGGTTTGCAACTGTATGCATGTATTTACAAATAAAATTGAGTTGAGTTCAGTATGGCTTGCTTTTCGGTATGTGTGGGTAGGATTATAGACTTAGGTATGTAGGAAATTCAGCTGTATCATCTTAACCTCGTTCAGTAAATCTCATAAGTAGATTATTACTCCATTTCTTAATATTTGATCACACAGGGAGGAATACAGACATTTATGTTCAAGTTTCCCTCAATTTACTTTAATGCTATCTTAGAAAGAAAAGTTAAAATTATTTTCAAAATTCATGTGTAAATATTTATGAACCCAGATTACCTAATCGAAATTCCTTATTCAGGGGCAGTATTCCATCCATATGATAACCCTGTTTTGAATCCTAAACCCATTCAAATCAGTCAGTTATAATAGGACTCTGTTTACTTATTTCCCACTGCAATCCCTATTTCTCGCTTGTACATAATCTGGTAGTCTTGTCCCTTTTAAATGTTGGTAGTACTGCTGCAAATGTAGCATATCCTGTCAAAATAGAGCTGAATAGATATTTCTTGTATTTTTTTAAAAAAAATACGCCAGCAATCGTTTATATACTTATATACCACTTATATACCACTTTTACAGTGCTTTACAGCCCTCTCTAAGCTGTTTACAGAGTCAGCATATTTTCCCCAACAATCTGGGTCCTCATTTTACCAACCTCAGAAGGATGGAAGGCTGAGTCAACAGTGAGCCGGTGAGAATTGAACTGCCGAACTTCTGGCAGTCGGCAGTCAGCAGAATTAGCCTGCAGTACTGCATTCTAATCAGCCTCGGACTGGGGCTCGACCAGACCACGGCCCTAAATACTTTAGTTCTTTAGTTCATTTAGTTCATTTTTTGTTTGCAACTGCATTACTTTTATTTTATTTTATTTTAGAACTTTTTTTTCAGTGCGGTTTAATTACTAAGAACATTGTTTAATTTAAAATAATTAATCAGAGTTTTATTTAAAAAATAAAATATATAAACCACAGATATTAATTTAAAAAGCTATAACAGCATACAGATTTGGAATATTTTCATATTACTTTCCTAAAAGGTTATGGGAAAATAAAAGCATCTATATCTAATGTCAGAAAGATAACAAAGTAAACACTTGATGTGTCTTATTTTAGGGCTTGTGTGGAAGAGACCCAATAAGGATTACAGTATGGCATTTCGATGAATCTGGAATCTTTCTTTCAGATATAGGGAGATCCTTCATGTTCAGCCAGTGAAAATTATTCCTAAACCTTTCTCATATTTTATGTTGCCAAACCAGGTCTCTTCACACCTATATTTTTGCCTATGATTTGTTTACAGAATTTTTTAGTGCATTCATACTTTATTGATTTCACATTAATCTATCTAATTTTATCTTGTTTGTCCATTGTTCTAGCCTTTCCAGATGGTTATAAACGGGTGGGTTCTAAATTTTTTTACTACCGGTTCTGTGGGCGTGGCTTATTTTGTGGGCGTGGCTTTGAGGTCATGTGACTGGGTGGGCATAGCTAGCTGGTCATGTGACCAGGTGGCCATGGCTAAGTGTATAGGGACTACTCAGAGGGCTGAAAAAAGTCATTCCTGACAGGTCCTCGCACTTTTGACTGGTCCTCACACTTATGACCATCCTCACATTTATGCCCGTGCAGCATTCTTAACAACCATGTCACTCATTTCACAACTGCTTCTCTTCACCATGGTGACAAGATAGGGCAAAAAACGTAAAATGTGAGGACAGTTGTAAGTTTGAGGACTGGTCAAAAGTGCGAGGACCAGTCAAAAATATTTTTTTCAGCCCTCTGAGTAGTCCATATACACAAAAGGACTACCCAGAGGGCTGAAAAAAGTGACTTCTGACAGGTCTTCGCACTTTTGACCAGTCCTCGCACTTATGACTGGTCATCATTTATGCCCATTGTAGCATTCTTAACAACCGTGTCACTCATTTCACAACTGCTTCTCTTCACCATGGTGAAGGCGAAAAATGTAAAATGTGAGGACAGTCGTAAGTTCGAGGACTGGTCAAATGTGCAAGGACCAGTCAAAAATAACTTTTTCAGCCCTCTGAGTAATCCATATGCACAAAAGGATACAGCAAGAGAGAGGGAGGAAGGAAGGAGAAGAGAGGGAAAGAAGAGAAGGGAGGAAGGAAGGGAAGGGAAGGGAAATTAGAGTAGGAATGAGGGTAAGAAAGGGAGGAAGAGAGGAGGAGAAGGAGAAAGGAAGAGGAAGTAGGGAGGAGGAGAAGAGGGGGGGAAGAGAAAGTAAGAAGGAAAGAAAAGAGAGAGGTGGTAGGTTTGAGGAGAAAGATTGCTGTAGAATAAAAAAGATGAAAGGGAAGAAAGGCAACCCCAAACAAATATAAAAATATTAAGATAAAGAATGAATTGTTAAACTTTAAAAAATAAAAGAGAATAAATATGAATAAATAGCAATAATTAGAAACACACATACAAACATACAATGTATTTTCTTTGAACAGAGAATTTGGCCGGTTCACAAATTTAAACAGTGTTTAGTCATTTCAATTAAATTTACAATTTCTATATTTCCTTTTTGCCATATTTATTCCTCATCTATTTTTTAAAAAAACCAATATTACCCTTCATCCTCATCTCTAATCTTAATCAAATTCAATTTTTCCCTTCTATTCTATATTATACCCCTTCCCATTGTCATCTATTTTTATATCCATCCTCACATTGGTTAATTATGTAATATTACAGTTGTTTAATACAAATTCAACATTTTAATATAAATCAATTAGTTATATAACTATCTTTTTTGTATATTAGTCAATATGAACATGAATATTCCAATTATTTCCATGCAATCCAGTTTCTTACAAATCAATTAATTATATTTACCAAGAATAATAAACCAAATAATTTCCTCCAAACCACTACTTAACCATTTCTGCTTTCAACACAATATACAATTAATAGTATCTCAATTATTACAATTCCCTAGTTAAATAGAGCTTTTTTCTTTTGTGTTTTAAAATCTTGAACTCTCCTCTTTTGCCCTAAATTTCCCATTGTTTGCCCCAATTTTTTTGGTAAGCAAAAAGAAAAAGAAATCTCTCCCTGCCTCATTTTGTCACGTTGCAGCAGAGCCTGCTTTACTTTCAGTTTCGTTTTTTCCCTAGCATAGCTACTCATTTGTTTTAACACTGATCAGCTGTAGGGCGGCCCTTTGAAGCCCCGCAGCAAGAGTTTAAACAGTTTTTTTTCCCCTCTAGCCATCAGCTGGGACTCAAGAGGCAGCAATAGATTGGGAGTGGGGCCAAATAAAGGGTAAAAATAACGGGGTGGGGTGGAGGGGCGGGGGGGAGAACTGGTTTGGTGACGTCATATCGTCACCGCTACCGGCTCGCGGGAACCGGTGCGAACCAGGAGCAACCCACCACTGGTTATAAATCTTTTTTTTTTTTGTTACAACTCTTGTTAATACTTTTGTCTGCATATCACTTGTATATTTGATAAATATACTCTATATACCTTCATCCAGGTTGTTTATTGAATGATCATTGAATCTTAGCTATGAAATATTAAAAACAATATTCATCAAATATATGGTGTAAGACATTGGTAAGAAGCAGATCCTCTGTTGCTACCTAATAGCATAAGATCTCTTTTTAATAGACTAAGTGGAGACAGGTTTTGTGTTAATCATAAGTTTCCACCAAATTGGAGAGTACTCATACTGATTTGTGTCATTTGTGTAAAGATCTTATTACCCGATTATCACAAATTAAAGCACTTGTGTCAATTTATATCATTTGTGTAATCATTACACAAACAATTATATCACTTGAATCAGGTGATATTTCTATATTGAAGTCATTACTATACATATATGATGCAATTTACATCATTTAGTGAGTTAATGTTCATTGTATAAAATGATACTACAAAAATGATGCTAATTGCTGTGGAAAATTGATCTGTTCCATGTCTAATCTGTTCTATCGGGATCTGGTGAATTGAGATTTCATTGTAATATTTGCAAGCACAAAAAATAATTTTAAATCTTTGTTTAGGGAAAAATATAAAGTAGGCAGTGAATTTTTTTAAAGCCTTGATTTATCTGTAAATATTTAAAACCATGATCACTTAATAGCAGTTACTTTAGATTACATTTTTAAATAAAGATGCTGAGAAATTCAGATTTGTCCAACTTTCTTTTTCTAAAAACCTGAAGCCTAAATACATAGGGGTTTCATGGTAATAGTTATTGGAAGGAAAAACCCCTCTGATTTTAGAGTCGTCTTACAATTGTATCTCCTTCAGTTATCAGTATTTATTTATTTTTCAGTTTATTATAAAATAATTTAAAGCAATTAGATCATTGTTAGTAGCTACAATTCCAAATCTTATTTTTAATTATGACTAGACAACCCATGACCCCCCCGGGTCATCTTTCAGAACATATTTCCTTACCAGATTCCTGATTGCTTCAACAATGATAGAACTCCTAATACATTGCCTTCACTGAAGAAGTTGGGATGGATTCAGAGATGTATCTTACTTGCAAACAGCCCATGTTGAACTGAGTAGCACTGTCAAACATCAGCAAAAGAAATGTTTTATGACATTTTATATTGTGTCATAAACTGTCTTGTGATAATATTTATGTCACATTGGGCTTATAGTTTTCCAAATTTCAACTTCACAGGAATTATGGATCCCATATTTTTTACTTCTTTTGTAAGTTATCTGAGGTACCTTGGTTCAAAATGTTTTGCCCTATGGTGTTCCATTTCACACAGTTAAAGATTACAGGAATCAAAGTTTCAGTACTATATAGATTACTATTATTCAAGCAGTTTGTTTTATATCACTTTGAATTAGTATGTATTTTATTTTTACATATGTATACTCTTGTAATATTCTTGCCTTAAATGTTCAAAAAAGTGATGAATAATTCTGGTATGTAATATACATGTGCTGTGCTTTGCCAGCAGCTCATGAAATTTGCTATGCATATTCTATAAATATTTAAAGCAATTGTACATTTGGATATATGGACTGTTGCAAAGCTTCTTATAAGCTCTTTTAATCAAGTGAGCAAATTTTAGAAATAGTTTGTTGGAGTTCTGGAAATATATAAACAAATCTAAGGAAACTTTTTGAAGCATCAATTCCAGTTTTCACCTCAGCAGTTTCAGTTTATTTTTCAAAATACCATCAAATCATCTGTTGTAAAAGAACAGATGTTTATATAAAACCAAGCTACACATGGCTCTCATTATTCAGTTCCCTTTCACTGTTCAACTTAACCAACTAATGAGATTGTGAATATATGCGAATTAGTTTGTTAGATGTGGTGCTTACATTTGTCTTCTTCCTACCATGAGGACTATTCCCAGTTTCTTCCTTTTCTCCTTATTCGGGGGCAGATGTTATTGAGCACCAGTTTTTGAACTTCTCCATATCTCCTTATGCATGTCCTTCTCACTTGGCCATGATAGATCTTGCTAGGTCAATCCAGTCAAGAGTCTTGCTGGTTTCTCTGCTATGTACAACTCTTTCGTGAGGCAGGTGAGGCATGTAGTGACATTGCGATCCAGAGACATCTGCAAGGATACCATGAGGGATCCTCATAGAACCAAGAAGCCAGTGTAAGTCATATATGATTCTATCTGTCTATTTGAACAAGGTACTTTGAAAAAGACAAAATACCGCAAGGAAACCATATGGAGCCTTTCAACAAGGCTAACCCAGTAAGAGCTTCTATGATCAAACAAGAAGTGAGATCAAATATGTGCTAATCCCAGCCTTAAAAGATGTACTTTAATGCATGCATAGAAGGTCATCCATCATTTTCTTTATGTGTGAAAATAAAAATGTCAAATCTGTGGCTGTGGCAAAAACCTCTATATGTATAAAAAGATTTATTCTCTGAATTGCAGATACATGAAATCAGAGATAAAGAGCGAGGATAATAAGAGCCACATTTACTGCATAATTAGAGTAGCGGGTTTTCGCCGAAGAGCCTTTTGTAAATAGTATTAACAGGCTCCAATCTTACAATGTGAGATACAGAGACAAGAATCTTAAGAGTTTGATGTGATATGGAATTGTAAAATAAGATGAGGGGTTTCTTTTTGAGATAATGGATAGCTTTGTACTCTTCATAAATTGTATAATTATGCAATCTGTCCAAAGCAGAACAAACTGCATAATGGAGTCACTTTTGAATGGTAGCAAAACAAGTCTCATATTTTCATTCAAAGTAGTAAAGCTCAACTGGTAGTTTCACCATTGCATTGCAGCATCGAGGTACACCCAAAACTTACTCTTTAACTTGGTAGCAATAAGCTGGGGCTGGCCATGTGGTCAACTGATAAAACATGGATTTTGGCACTCCTATTTTCTCCATAATGTTTTCACAATTTGAGCTATGTGTGGTCCTCATTCATTACGACCTCATTCATTTAGTGACCAAAGTTTCAGTGATGCTGAAAAAAGTGACTTATGACATGTCCTTGTGCTTATCACCGTTGCAGCATTCCTAGGGTCATGTGATTGTATTTTGGGCACTTTGGCAACTGGCATATATTTAAAACAGTTGCAGCATCCCAGGGTCACATCAGATTATTAATATCCCTTGGGATGATGCCGAAGATGCTGTGAATGATCAAAACTGCTGGAAAATACTTGCTGCCCAATGTGCTTTGATGAGGACCTAATGACAATGATGAGGGTAGCATCACCATTTATGACCTGCCCAGATGGCTTCTAACAAGCAAAGTCAACGGGGAAAGCCAGATTCACTTAACAGCCATGTTATTATTTATTTAACTGCAGTGAATCACGTAAGGGCTGGGCACAAAAAGTACCGGTAATTAAATTGGGCATTGCTTAGTAAAGGAAGTTCCAGTCTCAATTGTGATTGTAAGTTGATGTCTACCTGTATAGGAGAGTGGTTGATGTTATAACCCCACACCTAAAATAATTTGGAGACAGGAAAAGAAAGAGTTTAGTTTTGCACAAAAGCACAGAACGATGATTTAATTGAAGAGTTAATATCGGGGAATTTATTTTAATTATTTATTTTGAACTTTTTCCCCAAAAGGCTTTCTGTTTTCACACTCAGTTTTATAATCCAAGAAAAGAAAAGAAAAACCCACAGAAATAAAAAGGTGGGGGGGAGGAAGAAGAAAACAGACAAGGCAATTTTTTGTAATGTTCCCATTTTCTTACAATGACTAGCTGAAATTCTTAGAATTTCACATGTTTCTTGCTGTTCCTTCCAATTGCCGATTGCCTATATAGAACATTCCAAGAAAAACTGGTAGGATGCAGATTATACCCTTATCAGTACAAAGAAAGAATGGTGCATCTGTTCTTTGCAATTCAGTTGAAATGGGCAATATCTATGAGGTGGGGAGAATTAGACTGATAAAATTAGACTGATGCGGTAAAAATCAAGGTTTTTTTAAAAAAAGTTTTTCACTTATGAATGCTTGTGACTGCCAACAAATTTCAAGGTCACTTACTTTCTGTACATTGGAAAGTTATTTCTTTTGTCTAGTCCTAATTACCAGTCTTGCTACCAGGGTGCTAGGAATGCCTAATTTTAATTGCATCTAATTCTATATTGAACTGACAAAACGGCTACCCAGTCTTTTCTTGAACAATATACAGTGATAACCCACAACTTTAGGAGGCAGGTTGTTCCATTGCTTAATAGCTCTGATAGTCAGGATATTCTTCCTTAATTCAAGTTTGGATCTCTCCCTGCACAGCTTCCATTCATGGGTTCTTCTCTTACTCTCTTTTATTTTTTGGGTAAGCAGTCATGAAGATCATCAAGCTGCAAGCCATGAAGGATCATCAGGATCTTGAATTGTACCAGGAAACATACAACAAACAATAATGATATTATATGACAACATTGGGTTATCCTGGTTAATGTGGGCATTTTGCACTTGTTGCAGCTTCCAGGGTTAGGAGTATGCATTCTCAGTAAACTTAATTTTAGCAGGCTTTATTAATATTGTAAAACATATTACTTCTCACAGCAAACTCTGTAATCTCTTCTGAGACTTCCACAACAGATGTAGAAGTGGCAGAAAGAAATGTGGTTTTGATTCATTCAATTTCCTCTGATTACATATGTTATCAAAGTACAAATTGATCCCAAGAACAAAAAGTGTTGGTATAAATATCTAGGTTGACATATTAAAATAAATATATATTGAAGAATTTCCTTCAGTAAATTGTCAATCATAGAGGAAGGATTAAAGTTAGAATTCTAAAGAAATACAAAGACATGCAGTATTTATTTTCCTTACTAACTAAACAAATTGCTTCCAAAATATTTTACCAGCATCCCTAGATTTCTTAAAATAACCAAGCGTTTAGTAGCTTGTTCACTGTATCATGTTTGTGAAACAAATATAAATAATAGATAATCCCTAGTCGTGTGGGAAATGTTTCAAACTTGAAGTGCTTTGTTTCCAGCATGAAGAATTTCATACATTCCTGGTTGTAATCTGAACTAAAGTTAATAGAGTGTACTGTATTCATTATTGTTATAATTACAGCTGATTAAGAAAATACAGGTATCTGCTAAATAGATACGAAAAGTAGATCTCTCCAACACACTTCTGTGTTCTGTTTGGGATTTTTTGCCTCAACCACAGTGATGTTAGAATCTATGCTATACCAGTGCTAAATTAGTTACAAAACTATGAATATTATGTAGGCTGTTTTGTTGAGTAAAGAATTGAAATTATTTAGCTCTTAATCATGAACGATAATTAGTGTGCTCAGTACGTAATAAAAAATTGATCAGCATGATAATGCCAGTGCAGTTATATCAGAAGCATGAAAATTTGGAATAGATATGGATAGCGAGATGGATGACAATATTTAATAAATATGGTAGATTGCAACTACATAAATGAGCTCTCTCAGGAACGTCCATCTCATGTCTCCTTTAATGCACTGATAAAGAGATTCAAAGTATTCACTTCCGAATTCATAAATTGAATTTAAGTAAACTGAAATTTAGAAAACTGTAAATTCTAAATTATGATTTGTTTAGTTTTAGAACAAACCAGCACTAAATGTTATTTTCAGATACTAGTTTGTTTATGAATTAATGTTCAAATAATCCTCAACACTTTTGGGCAAAGGACTTGTGTGTGAGAGAGAGAGAGAGAGACAGAGACAGAGTGGGGGAGAGAGAAACTGAAACCGAAACTCAGAAGTGGGCATTTATTCACATATCAGGAAGACATACTTTCTTATTGCATCTGAACTCAGAATGTGATTGTCTACAGCAGGGTGTCAAACTCAATTTCATTGAGGGCCACATCAGGATTATGTTTAACCTCGGGGGGCTGGGGTGGGCGTGGCCAGTTTGACGCCACTTGTGTTGTGGGCACCTGTGGTGGCCAAGAGCTAAGGAAGGACTTTCTTCAGACCCTCTCTCACTCTCATTATAATTTCCTTCCTTCCTTCCTTCCTTCCTTCCTTCCTTCCTTCCTTCCTTCCTTCCTTCCTTCCTTCCTTCCCTTTTCCTTACCTCTTCATTCTCCTTTTTTCTTCCTTCCCCTCTCCTTCTTTTTCCTTCCTTGCTCTCTTCCCCTCTTTTCTTCTTTTTCTTTCTTTTTCCTTTTTCCCTTCTTTCTTTTTCCACCCTTGGATATTCAAATGCAAAATGGAAAACATTTCTCCTTTTGTTTTGTTTTGCTTTTAGTTTGTTTTGCTAGCCCTCTGCCAGTGAAAACGAAGCTCAGGGGGCAACATGCCTCCCCCCCGGGGGGGGCATTTTCAGCCACAATGGCCTCCTGCAGCCCTCTGCCAGTGAAAATGGAGCTTGGGGGAGGCACACGCACCCCTCTTGAGCTTTGTTTTCGCTGGCAAAAGCACTGCAGACTGGTCCTTTGCTGTTTCCAGGGCAACCCTATGGGCCAGATCTAAGCACCCCATGGGCTGGATCTGGCCCGTGGGCCTTGAGTTTGACACCCCTGTCAAACACATCGGATCGGTCATCGCCTGGGTCAATAAGGACCGCGTCAGATGCTATGGCTTCTGGACATCTGTCAAAAAAGGGGCTACAGGGCTCAGTTGTTACTGCTAGAGAACCAGGGCGTCCAACTGCAAAGCGACTGAAACAAAAACGCAAAACTTGGACAACCAAAGAAAATAGATAAATCATCAAATATTATTACCAGGCAGAACCAACAGCCAGGGGATTTCAAAAAAGAATGATGCAACTGTGGAAGGAAAAACACCCAGAAAGTGACATAACTGAACAAAGATTAATGGATCAAAGACACTTCATCATCCATAATAAAGTTTTCACAGATGTGGAAATGCAACATCTAGAAATATTGGCTAAAAAGAAAACAAGTAATGATGAACAAGCTGAAGAAACTGCTCCAACACCTCAACAAACTGACCAGCCAATGGAAGAAACCAACATACAAATCCTCCTGTGCAACAACTCGAAAGTATAGAGCTAAGTGATCTAACAAAAATGCTGAAAGAAAAGATTGAAAACATAGAAAGAAAAAGACTACCTACCATTCGCGAGGTGCATAGCAAACGAGTGAAAGATCTGTTAACTGCCATGAACAACATTTTAACGTCCATCCCATTCAGCACACCATATGAAACCAACCAACTAATGTATAGCACAGCCGCTGTTATAACTACAGAACTGGGTTATAAAATGTCAAAAAAGAAACCCACTGGAACACCAAAATGGAAAATTTGACGTGAAAATAAAATAAAAAATCTACGAGGGGATGTCAGCAATCTGAAGTACTTGAAAGAAGGAAAACTAAATAACAAAAAGCTGAAAAAATACAACCTGGATGAAAAAAACAATAACGGAAATCATGGAAGAATTAAAACAACGTGTAATAACAACAGCAAAGAAAATTGAAAGATATGAAGGACAAATTAAACAATATCGTGAAAATGTCCAGTGCAGAAGAAACCAACACCTCTTCTACCGGTCCCTTGATGAAAATCAAGTCCAAACTAATGTTCACCCATGTACAGAAAAAACTTTGAACTTTTGGAAAGAACTGTGGGAAAACCCAGTGGAACACAACAAAACTGCCTCCTGGATCAAAGATATTTAACAACAAACAACGAAATGGAAAATATTGTAATAACAACTGACACGGTTGCAAAACAAGCAAAGAAGGTCAAGAACTGGAGTGCACCTGGCTTGGACCAACTGCATGGACACTGGCTAAAACACCTGACCAGCCTCCATCATTGCATGGCCACTCAATTTGATCAAATGCTTCAAAATACAAGAAGCGAAGAATGGTTAACAGCTTGATAATGAAAGATCCAGAAAAGGGCACAGAACCAAGCAACTATTGCCCAATTACTTGTCTACCAACAACATTCAAACATTTTACAAGAATACTGGCAAATTCAGTATTCAATCATCTGATGGAAAACAGTTTGTATCCAGTAGAACAAAAAGGAAATTATAAAAAATCAAGAGGAACAAGAGATCAGCTGCTCATTGACAAAATGGTACTAAAAAATGCAAAATGAAGAAAAATGAATTTAAATATGGCATGGATTGATTACAAGAAGACATTTGATTCATTACCCCACAGCTGGATTAACACCTGTCTGGAAAACTTTGGAATCAGCAAAAATATTTGTACATTTTTGAAAGCAAATATGCAAAAATGGAAAATAATTCTAACCACAGATGGGGAGAACATTGGTGAAGTCAACATCAGACGATTATTCCACTGACAATAATCCTACAAAAAACAAAACTGGGATACCAAATCTCAAGCCAACATGGCAAGATAAACCATCTACTATACATAGATGACTTAAAAATGTATGCAAAAAGCCCCACTGAACTTAAATCAATACTCAACACAGTTCAACTGTTCAGCAACGACATCAAAATGAACTTTGGATTTGAAAAATGTGCTATATTATCCATGC